AGGTTGGACAGCGCTACCAAGAGTACATCCGGGAGACGATCGCAGAGCTGGTGCAGCAGCAGGGAATGAAATTTGGCTCGCTGATCATGGAGCCGGTGATCTTAGGAGCGGGAGGCATGCTATTTTGGTGAGTTTTTCCATCCTGTTGACAATAAGATAGGTAGTATACACGCCGCATACTGACCAATAACAGTGACCCCCTCTTCCAGCGGTGCCTGGCTGAAGTGGTGCGTGGTCACCCGGAGCTCTTTGCCCCTGGCGCCACTGCAGGCGCGGCGGCGGGATCGTCGTGGTCGGGACTCCCAATCATCTTCGACGAGGTGTTCACCGGGCTATACCGGCTGGGACAGCGATCGTCGGCCGCTTTTCTTGGGGTGGATGCCGACATCGCGGTCAACGCGAAGCTGCTCACAGGCGGGCTGGTACCGCTGTGCACGACGCTGGCGAGCAACGAGGTGTTCCAGGCGTTCTCGAGTCCACACAAGAGCGATGCGCTGCTGCACGGGCACAGCTACACGGCGCACGCGGTTGGGTGCCAAGTCGCGGTGGACTCATTGCGAACGATGAAGCAGCTGGAACGCAGTGGGGCATGGGACAAGTACCGGCGGGATTGGCAGCCGGCGGCGCTCCCCTCTGCGCCCCGGGCGCGACCGGAGGTCTGGAGCGTCTGGTCGCATGGGTTGGTAGGGCAGCTGTCCCAAGCGCCGGCTGTGGAGGGGTTATTTGCCCTGGGAACGGTTTTGAGTATTGCCCTGAAGGATACTCAGGGCGGAGGTGAGTTGAATTTCCCTCCTGTCGATTAACTTTTTTTCGTGTTTATTGGCCGAGAATAGCCGCTAACCGGAGGGCACAATTTCTGCTGCAGGATACACGTCGACGGCGGCCCAAGGATTGCAGCAGCGGCTGGCAGCGGGTGGGGAGCATTTTGCAGTGCATTCACGCGTGCTGGGTAATGTGCTGTACCTGATGGCCAGTGTCACGTCAACCCCGGAGGCATTGCGGGAGATTGAGGAAGTGCTGCGGGCGGCGTTGTTGGTGGAGTGAAGAAGATTCTTCCGATCAGATCTATAGTACAGTGTATACGACACAATACACCATAGATAACTACAAACTACGTAGTATTAAACTAGTATAGTATAGGCATAGACATGACATAACGGACAAACAATGACATTGTGATTGGCATAGAAGGAATTAAGTTTTGTTTTTTCCCCTTGTGATTCCGATCCTCGTTTTGCTTAACAATTGCATCCTCACCGACGGCCCGAACAGAGCCAGATTGTTTGAGACTCAACAACCAATCAGCGGCAATGTGATCCGGGTTGCTGCAGCGGAGCTCCTTTGGTCCGTAACAAGTGGATCTTTCCATCGTCATAACCCCATTCTTCGACTCTGGAGGGATTGAGGGCAAGTTGACTCTGACTGTGTGGGATTGCTTCCCCCCAGCAAAGCACATGCAGCTAAGCCAACCCCCCCCAAAGCCAGTTCCCTCCGAGCAGCCATTAATTCTCCTATGCCTAATTTTATCTGGGATCAAAAGTTGATCCATCAATTTAGCCAAATCATCTCACCGGAGACGAAGTCAATCAATGCCACTATCTCCTCTGAATCAAATCGTCAACTTGGTCAATTACTAGGGTATGGATGTTGTGGTTGACCACACCCGGTTGGGGTCAACAAGGGCTGCCGCCCACCCGCAACACTTAACTCACTCATGCTTAATTCCATTCGATCGGCGCTGACTGGCTGGCCAACTATCTGTCTGACACTAATGTTAATCCGGTTGTTGTGAGATGATAGTAAGTAGTAATAGTCTGCTGCCCCTCTTTTCGCCCGAGGTGTTAAGCTAGTTAGCATTATGGAGAGAGTGTGGTCTAGTAATTACTCCGTAGTAGTTAATTAATAGTGTGTAGCCTGGAACACTCACTCACTCACTCACTGTCAACAATCATCTCCCCTCTTCTCTTCCCCAGTATCCTCTTCATCTTACCACCACTCCATATACTACATACCCATCTACACACAACACCCACCTCACAGAGACAAAACAAACACAACAGCATCACACAATGTCTCTCCGTACCCTCCCCGGGGTCCTCCTCCGCCGCAACTACGGCACCGTGCAATCCACCTCCCCCAGTGCCGCCGCCATCGCCAGCCGTATCCCAACTGCTCTGCGTGAAGCCACTGCTGCCACCGCACCACGCACCAACTGGACCCGTGAAGAGATTCAACAGATCTATGAGACGCCTTTGAACCAGCTCACCTATGCCGCTGTACGCTCCCCCAAAGCCCACTAATCCTCACCCCCCCCCCCCCCCCACCTAAGTAGAACCCTCACTAAACAATGCCCCAATGAATATAGGCAGCCGTCCACCGCCGCTTCCACGACCCCAGCGCCATCCAAATGTGCACGCTAATGAACATCAAAACCGGCGGCTGCAGCGAAGACTGCTCCTACTGCGCACAATCCTCGCGGTACCAAACCGGTCTAAAAGCCACCAAGATGTCCCCCGTCGACGAAGTCCTCACAGCCGCCCGCACCGCCAAAGCCAACGGCAGCACACGGTTCTGCATGGGCGCCGCCTGGCGCGACATGCGCGGCCGCAAGACCAGTCTGAAGAACATCAAAGCCATGGTGTCCGGGGTGCGGGGCATGGGGATGGAAGTGTGCGTGACGCTGGGAATGATTGACGAAGCGCAGGCCAAGGAACTGAAGGATGCTGGGTTGACGGCGTATAACCATAACTTGGATACGTCGAGGGAGTTTTACCCTGAGATTATTACGACGAGGTCGTACGATGAGCGGTTGAAGACGTTGGCGAATGTGCGGGATGCGGGGATTAATGTTTGCTCCGGCGGTATTTTGGGTCTGGGTGAGAAGGATGAGGATCGCGTGGGGTTGATCTATACCATGTCTGGGTTGGAGAAGCATCCCGAGAGTTTCCCGGTTAATGCTCTGGTGCCGATTCCGGGGACTCCCCTGGGAGAGAGGAAGATGATTTCGTTTGATAAGATTTTGAGAACGGTGGCGACTGCTAGAGTGGTTATGCCGGCTACGATTGTTAGACTTGCGGCGGGGAGAATTTCTCTCAGTGAGGAGCAGCAGGTTGCTTGCTTTATGGCGGGTGCTAATGCTGTGTTTACGGGTGAGAAGATGCTTACGACGGATTGTAATGGGTGGGATGAGGATAGGGCTATGTTTGAGAAGTGGGGATTTTATCCCATGAAGAGCTTTGAGGGTGAGCATGTTAAGGAGGAGGCGAAGGTGCAGGAGATTGAGGGGACTGCGCAGGCCGCGGTTAGTGCTTAGATAGTTGAATGATTTAAATGGTTATATCGGTTTAACACTCTGGATAACATCATGCAACTTCCTGTTTCCAAAGCAACCAGAAGAATGACTAGATCTTGATAAATAGTATACACACCAAATCAGCAGTCTGTTCATAGAGTCCCTCCCACCTTGGCTTCTCCCATTCCGAACAACACCCTCATTAACAGCCACGGCAAGTATGCGACACCATAACATCAACGATATCCATCTCATGTCACCACAACAACTCAACTCATCAATGGCATATTGGCCATTGATTGGTTAGACTCAAACCAGTTAAGCATCCCTAACCGGAAGTTAACAACACAAAGGCATGTTCCCAGAAGTAGCCATTTCTACCCTGTACTCCACCTAGCAATAGCCACTGAAGACTCGATCAGGAAGGAAGAGAATGTCATCAAGAAACCCATATCTACCCCCTCACCCACACGCCCTACAACTGCCAATCCCTCCGTAATTGCTTCCACTACACCACACTGAGATATCTTAAATTTATCTAGACCTCCCGGCCTGTAGAAGAAGCACTGTCTAAGTGTATTCAATCACAGAATTAGTAGATAATATTACCCCCCATAGAAAAATCCTTGTCTCAGGGTTTGTTTCTAGGAATATATAAAACACCCCGCCGTGATCAGGGTTTTCGGTCTGTGTCCACCACCGTGACCACATTGGTATAACAAGCGAAGATGCATCAACCCATATGCAGGGTTCTCGTCGAAGAAGACATGTATCGGATAGCCATTTGCTCTTGGGTCGATATGATAAGTACACCCTCTTCTCTCCCTGAGACCGGGGAGATCATGCATGGCGATATTTGCTTTCAATGTTCTTTTTCTAGTTCTTTCAATGCTCATGAGAGAAAATATATGTAGGTGCACACTGAAAGGCTTTTTGGGAAGACACGGACACAGCAATAAGTTAGGATATTCACGGGTTAGATTCTTGATCGCTTACAGAGTCAGAAAACAGAGTACCTGTTTGATAGCCATCCCTGTCTTGTGCTTTCTCTAATAACCAGGGGCTTATGCACCCGGGACTTCTAGACTTGTACTCCGTAGAACATCGCGGTTCTGTACCCATTTTGACCCGGCCGAGAGATCTCGCCTCGACTCCGAGGTCTAGTTGTCGGTCAACACGATTATGTAGCGATCATCGAAACCAGCTCCAAGCATGTCCTCTCTCAGTTTTCTCCGAATTAAACTAGCATCTTCAACCTGTTGATCTTTGTGGAGTCTGAACTCTCCCCTAGTAGAAATACCGGTATAATCAGAAGTCAAAGACATGTTGCGTCAAAGGTTGAACCATGGTTGAACCCAGCACGCCCCCATCGGGGCCAGAGGAGGTCTTATTAAACTAAAATAACAAAAAAAAAAGAAAAGCCATCCAGCCAGCCATTAACACCCCGAAGGGCCAACCATTGACGCCCCGAAGGGCCAACTGTTAATACCCCGAAGGGCGATAACAGCAGTCTCAATCATCTACACAACCAGGAATCAGCATAGCCTAGTGAGTCTAGGGCCAAGAGTACTTACCATCAGGGATGATCTGCGGGTTGCCGGCATGTTCGCCAGGCACTGAGGCGGGCACCGAAGCGGGAGCAGGATTGGTAGGACTATAACCAGAACAGACAATGTTAGTGACAGACGCCATAGGGACATGGTTATACTTACCCATCATCATCCTCCAACGCAACCTCGATCTTCCTGAAAAGATCACGGAGGAGTCTCACAAACCGTGGCGACAAAGGGCGAGGGGCCACACGGGCTAGCTGAGCATTATACTCAAGCTGCAAGTTATCGCGGAGCTCGGTAAGATCCCAAAGCACGAGCAAGTTCATTTCTTCTTGTGAGGGGTTATTAGGCAGGCCAGCAGACCGGAGAACATGGTGGACACCGGCAAAGGAGGTTTTCGGCCTGGCAGTCGGCATGGCGAAACAAGACCGGAGCTGGCTAGAGAGTGGCGCCGAATATGCCAGTGCTCTATATAGTAACCCTATAGGAGTTGGTTGTATTCTGTGAGACGTACAGCGGGATGGTACTCGGTCTAGTAGAAACAAGATGAAACGGGAGACGAACGCTAGTTGTAAATGATGGCATATTCGATGTTCCTTAAGATATCCCTTTGCGGAATAGAGTCCCAGAAAAACTTGGGTCTTGTGTTGTCGCCATATATGGACAGGTTGTCTTCCTGGTAGATGTGGAATGGTTGGAGGGTATTTATGACTGTGCTCCGCAGGCCATGGACCTGTTTTATTGGCACCGATTCCATTTTGATGACGTGATCTGGACGAGGACAATCACGTCTCGGTATGTAAACTTCATTGTATGTAATGCAATATTTTATTTGTCTGCCATTAACATGGGACATTAACGAGTTGTATGTGGTGAAGCCCATCTCGCATAGACTGTGTCGTTCCTGAGTACATCCGCAGATATAAAGATAGTCAAATACAGACCGCCTGTATAGATTATCCATCTTCTGTGTTTTGACACCTTTGGTATATTGTACGCCTCATCGTGCCGTTCTTCTTCGATTACTCTCCAGCAAGGAAGCAATATATGCGATGTAGTATTGCCGGAGACATGTATATTGTCTGAAGCTGTGCCAAAGTCTGCTGTCGGTTTCCCCCTCTGATTCTTCAATTGGCATCTCCTTGCCGCGGCTGGCGTTCAAAAAAGAAAGAAATGCATTATTCACAGCTGTGATCTATACAACGGCTATGACTTTGACTCAAGATGGCCCTGGGTATAGCTCCCTTTATGAGGTAGACAGCCCCGCGATGGTCCAACTTTTGCCGAAACGGGATGTGTCTCTGGAAAATCGCTTGTTCGGAATGAGTTGTCCATAGTAGGTATACGACACGGTATGACTTAATTTATTTCGTCCTTGCGTTTTGGCGGCCAGGATCCCAGACAAGAGCCATAGACTTAGCGAAATTCTCGGACGTGTCGCCATATCGATCTACGATGTAAAGGACAGTCTTATCGTTTGCTCGCTAGCTCTTGGATACGGTCATCCAGATAACCAGAAGCTTTAGGATCAAGGGTATGGGTGTATACTATAAGAGAAACAAATGTATGTTCTCGCCTGGTGTAATGTGGCAAACGAACGAGTCGCTCTTCATATCCAATGTGATAACAGCCGAGTAGCTGTTGCGCATCACTTCAAGGGCTTTTTCTGGGTTCCTCCAGGGCTTTCCTTTGTTAAACACACGAATCAGCGAAGTTCAAATCCATCAGGAATGAACTTCCTGTGGACAACCAGGCTGTCTTGGAAGTTTCTTGTATCATTTAGAGGCCTTGAATAATTGCCAAAATGGTCCCTTATCTTCCGCTCTATTGGGTCCCAAGCGTCGAAAATCTCCGGTAGTGAAGATAAGCGAGCTCATCTGGTCCGTATCTGTAGTAGCGACGAATACAGTCTCTCGAATTTCACTTTGTAAGGTTTGCAGTTCTGTCTTGATAGGTGTACCTGTAAGCCGCGGCGGAATCCAGTTCCTTTGATGATGCATGGCTTGGATCGCTGAACCTGTTCCACTCTTGCACCAGTTGGAGAAGAGACTGGCGTCGACAACTATGTAATTCGCGCCACGGTGTATGCCTCAGAGCACATCACCGTGGAAGGAGTCCCAAGTCTTCTCAGATCTTGGGTTACTTCTCAGAGAATATATAAGTGGAGTTTGGGATGGCCGAATATCCTCAAGATTAATGAACTGTCTGTCGAAGCATTCAAATGCCGGATAGCATGAGATCGAGACCATGATCAACTACCTCCTCGTAATTCCGCCCCTCTGTCTCTCTGTGGGCGAAGATTCTTCGATGGAGCCATCCCCACAAAGCCCACATAACCAGGAAGACGAATCAACAATCCCATAGAGTTTGATATGTAGTGTGGGACAGCGACCCGACAGGGCAGGTAACTTGCTAACTTTACAGACAGTATATAATCTCGCCACTTAGCTATCCAGGTCCGGCAAGATTGCTGGCGAGAAGAATAAAGCCTGTTGATATTTGTGCTTTGCTTTAATCAATTCCTTAGTGTGCCCGCTTCCGAGTTTCTGGTATATATAAGCAGATTAATTGTCTCCATAAACCATTGTACCTTGAACACAGATGCCAAGTTCGTCAATGCTTGAGATGCTCTTCTTTCTTTCTCCGAGTAGATATCCCCTCCTTCGGGCTCTCTTGGTTCTGCCATTATCTTCGAAGCCAAGACATCATCCGAAGAGTCTTATTTGCGATGTATACGCCTCCTCTTCTTGTGTCAACGTAGACACGGCAGATGGAAAGCCTAAGTTCTGTATTTGGCCATTGTGCAGCTTTTATATAGCCATAATGCCGGCCATTTCTGCATACCCGTGGTCAACATGCCCATCCATTCGCAGGAATTCGGACAACTCTCCGAAACACTCTTGCTTCTCGACTTCGAACGCTTTCCAGGCTGCCACACATTCCATGTATCGAAATAGCAACAAACTGCCACATTTATAATTCAAGAAGGACAGGACACAGTACTCGCTGCCAATCCAGACATGGCACAGTGATATGACAACAGTTGCTTTCTGATATATTTTGAGGCATATTCGTATTGCGGAAACGTATGCCATGTCTCAAGTACTATCAGGTTGCTGGAGCATTGCTCATGCTTACTTGAGCGGGTGCATGAAGGGAATTGCAATGCCCAAATATAGTGCACTTAGCAACAGAGAGTATAAGTATGTGCCTCAGGGTTGTGTCCTCACCGTTTCCAGGCCAGTAACCCAGAAAACCTTTTCCTCGTTCGTGGCTCTTCAGGTTTTGAGTCTTCCGAATGGTTGTACACCCGAGGAAGTACCTCTCTATCTCCATATTCAGAGAATGTGTTCGATATAGAGAGTTTGGCATTGAAAAGATCTGGGTGATTTCAACGCCGGACCTATTTGTCGTACCGCGGATATATGTAAGGAAACTTATCAATGAAGAACTTGTGGGAGTTAAAGATATGTCATGATTATCTTTGAGATTAAGGAGCGTATGACTGCTTCAAACACTTTATAAAGTCCTTGTGCAGCTGTTTCCAACCCCGTAAGGTGGTATTAGGGTTAAAGATAGATAACCCCTAGACTTGACTGATTGAAGAAGAGAAATTCGTGGAGAGCTGGGTAGTATTTCAACATATCACGCTGATGACGATAGTAGTCTTGCTGAGATTATGACTATCCAGGTTCTCTGTGTCCGATGTTATATTCTGTTAATTAGACGGTTTTCTTGGATTTCCGTTCCCATTGCTCTGGCTATAAGTTAGAAATAAATAGTTACTTCATGATGTTACCTCTTACCTCTGGGAGTTTCGATGTCGATGTGCGATCAGCTGAGTATGGTAAGTGCTTACCACCCCATGTCCGCTGGCAATTCTTCGAAGATTTTGTTCTGCTGCCTCACCAATGCCCGATTATATATTTTTGTCGCCAGCCGGACATGATAGAGCTAAGTTCATCTTCAATAGGCATGTTTGTTTCCGCCAAGTGGAGTATGACAGCCTTTTGTTAAGAGAGATTGTTGAGAGTCGGAACGCGTATTCAGAGGGAGTCAATATGATGTAGTAGGGGACATGGTAATTGGTCGATTCAATGTCCCATGCAGCGCACGCGACCACTAAGCCTTTCGGGCGCTTGGGTTCAATATAGCCCTACATCGCCGCGCAAGGGCATCAAATCGTGTATACTATATTCCTGGAATGAGCATAGCATGATGACAAGGAAGAAAAAGAGAGGAAAAGACAGAGACGGAAGCAGATTATATAGCAGACAGGACAGAGATGCTATTCATCGCTCATCTACCAAATAGTGAAGCCTGACATCGCATTCATCCTTTCCAGTCAATACCTAGCCCAGTGGCAAGCAAGAGTAGGGAATGTCGTAATAATCACAAGCCATGCTTAATTCAATGTACTATTCCCACATGCAACATCATGTTAATGAATATGCTGCATGATGCAGGTATGCTGTGACGTTGAGGGGGATCGGCAAATCCATCGTATGACGATTCCCGATCATGCCATAATCAGGATACTCTCCACTCCCCATACCCGAAAATAAGGTGATCGTCGGGAACTCCCCCATCTTATAAATAAACCTTGGTCTAGCCGTCACTGAATCCTCCACTATCCGCTTCACACTTATCAAGACAAATCAACCATATTGAACATCAAATCATCACTACAACATTACCAACCATGAACGTCTCGGCTTCTCCCTCTGGCTCGCAGCCTTTCATCAAGAGACCTACTCTAAGTCCCGCATTCAAGAAGCCTAGCAGATGGTGAGTGTGCCTTCATTCCCCAGATGACGTATTGAATAATAGCTAATGAATCCAGGTATCTCCCGCTCATGGGCGCCATAGCTCTCGGTATCTACCACCCTTCAATACATAAATCCACTTCACCATCTAACTATTAACTATAGGCTTCGGAGTCGCCAACTACTACGAGAACCAAGCCCGCCAGCCCCAGTTCGACCGTGAAGAAGAGGAACGTCTTCGAAAGAACCGGGCCCTGATGGATGCCTACGGCGACAAAGAAACAGTCCAGGATATCGAACGGGCGCTGGTCGTCTACGACCTCCAGTAATCATCCTTGATGGAAGGAACAACATTGCATTACAATCGGGCACACTTAGCGTGGAATATGGTTACGGCTTTCATGAATGATGGCGCATATGGAGTTTGGGTTTCCTTTTACTCTCCGGAAGAGATGAGGCATGGATTTGTGGTTTCGGGATTATGAATTTGACCGGGCATTAACCTGCTGGTTTAGTTTTCGCGGATTAGCATTGAATTGAGAAGCAAGCTGGTCATTGCACTTATGCTGTTTATCTTCTTTTACAAATGAGTGGAATTACCGACCGAGTCGTAGTTTCTAAGAAAATGCTGTTTCGTGCCTCCCTACTGCACTGGCGACTCAATTTTGAGACCACCAACCTATCATTACCCCATACCCGCCACCGGAAGCGGGGAGAGACGTTCTGCAGCTCAACAGCCAATCACATACTCACACATCCAATCCCGCACTGCATGATGCTGATCACGAGACTCGGATCCTTTCGCAAAGAGGTTAGACTACTCCGAACCCCTCAAACAATCAACACAGCCCCTTTCGTAGCTGCATCTTCGAGGTGTAAAGGTTACGTGTCGTTGCTGCAATTCAATGCTACATAGGCATCTATCAATTAAGTCTGCTGCCTACATCTGCACCGAGGTCAGGGTATCTTTATGACCCGTCAGATAGTTGTTTCACCGTAGAGTGCTATCCATATTACGGATAGATTATTCGGCATATCGTACAGCGGATGAAAGATCTCCCGCACATTGCCCTTAAAGGGAGCTAATGTAGATCACTTCGGCAGTTGGCCCGGAACGTCTAATGCCAGTGATTATACAGAAGCTCGAAAGTAGGGGCTGAAACTGCCTGGAACACCCTAACCTTGAGAACCATACCGACTCCTATACCTTGCTCCTCAAGGCGTACAAATTATGAACGACAAACAACACCCCATTCATCAAGACTCCCACGCCAAAACCTCTCATTCATATCATCCAGCTTCTTCTGCCCATGCCTTTACATTCTTCTTCTCCTTCTCGTAAACCAATTTGACTGCCATTTTCCATGAAACTTCAGGCGACTCAGCAGGCCCGAAGAACCGCTCGTCAATATCCTGCCAGAAGGTCGTATCAAAAGCAAAGTTCCTTTGCGCTGCATAACTGACCAAGAAACCACCACTCTCCCAACTCTCTTGCATAGGCCCGAGAACCCTTGTCCCTCTTTTTAGCGTCCAGAGTTTATGAGGGCCTCCTAGCGATCAATTAACACGTTCATACAAGTTTGCAACCTATGCTCGAATAACCCCCGTCCAGGATTCCATACCATCTGGCCAATACTCTGGTTGTTCGAGAAGTAGCCACCATGGCGATGCAGCCGAGAACTCTGCCGGTGCTGCGTAGGAGAATTCCCAGTCTGTTACGCCTACGATTTGCATATTTGCGGTGAGTAGCACATGAGGAGGCATCAGATCGTCGCATCGTAGCCGGAATGGCCCTGAATCACGACCACGAGTAGATGAAGTTAGTCGACGATCTTGCTAATTTGCAAAACTGCCGCCTGACAACATATCTACGCCGTCAATCAGTAGCAAATTATACCACATCATTGCGCTGCTGCTTCGCTTGCTCGATATGAAGTGCAAGTCCAAAATTTGGGTAGAGAACGCTCGGGGGGAGGGTCTTCCGCAAGCCTGTGTATCACAACACCAACGAGAAGTCAATATGGCAAATGCTACTTCCTACTCCATGAATAAAGCCCCATTCAACCAATCTGTCGACTTGTTGAGGCGAGGTAGTATATATTTCAGCCACAGAGCGTCAGAACTACCAATTGACAGGCTTTTCCACACCGGTACACCCTGTAGATCCTACGGTGATAGCCACATGCCCAGGGCTTATTGCTATGAGCATTGGCGCTTGAGTATACTGGGTTCCTGGGAGTTACAAGATAGGATGCTGTGATCACAAATGGAGGTGATGGTGCAATGGTAGGAGGGCGCCAGTGGTGGCATTCAATTAAGGACTAACTTTGGGGGAGGGGGGTTTCCCTAAGTTTAAACTGCCAGATTTATATGAATATGATTTTATCTACGGAAAGGTCCTTTGCTACTCAATCTAGAATCTGTATTCTGAATGATTAGATATTTATCATCAGGGAGTTGACATGTGTGTCATTAACATTCATTTCTATAACACCTGTTATGAGTTTCTTTTTTCCTCTCTGGGTGATTCGTTGTGTTCGTAGACTAGTATTCTGTAGGTTAGAGGCCGGCAAGTTACTCTTCTATCATTTTAAGCTTAATTTAACTTCGTAGCTTTCTGAATATGTAAAATCTTATACTTCAGGCATGTCCTGCAAACTTCTATGGTGAGTTTCCAGAGAAGTCTTTAATTATTAAGTTGTATGATATACTCAATACAAAGATCACAGGGTAGCCCCGTCCTTCTTCGACACCCAATTCTAATAGTATCTCTACTAGTGCTATTACTGCCATAAGTTCAACGATAGAACCCGATGATAACTCATTCCCTTTCTAACTCAATACCCTAGGCGGCTGTCATCTAGTACATGCCTGGGTAGGAAACTTCAATGATAGATACTATAAGGACCAGGAAATGAGAGAAATGTCCCTCAACATTAGCTCCGATGAATCACATAGCCTTCCAACTCAGTCTGATTTCCGGTTCTATTCAACAATGACTACGGCTTCGTCTGGGCGATTGCCATCGTATAGTTGCTCTATACTGATGTCAGTAGGAGTATTCCTTTGCTGAACACAGCACGTAGATATCTTCCACCATGAGACATACTGACAGTCAAACTATACTCATCGGCACCATCCTAACAGCACTTGATATGGGTAAAAAAGCCTTCGAACAGCTCTTCCATCTTCAAGATAAATAACCATCTTCATCCTCTTCGACAAGAGATCCTAACGAGAAATACCAGATCAATCTTCCTCGATCTCATCTGCTATCCTCAGATTTATCTCCGCATTCTCCTGATACTAAGGGTCATACAGGAATCTCTCAGGCTCACTCACCATTGCTTTAGTGATCCAGCAACGAGACTCAATCACCATCATGTCTTCAGGCGACAAGAACGCAGGTCGTGACGAAGCTGCCTTCAGACTTAACCTTAGTGCTTCCCAGGCTGAATTCATGATGAACAAGGGTAATTCGTCTGGAAAAAAACGCGGAGTGTCTTACGAACCCAGCTCCATGAGAATTCCAAATCCGGGTGAAGAGGAGCAGTTGACAGAGTCGACCACCGCGGCAAATGAGAGACGGAAACATGTTACTGAGAATATTGCTGACCATTACAGAGATAGCAGGGGTTGATGTAGATGCTGGTGTCGTTGCTTGTTGAGACATACAGGCTACTACTGACTGACCATCTATATGCGCCATGGAGAAGGAGTTCGAACAAAGAATGTTATTTGCTTTTATATAACTGCCAATGCACGAGTTACGTCTATAAATTTTAACTTAGGATGAGAAGCGTCCAAGGTTCGGCACGAGTAGATGAAGTGGGATGTTCTGGACAAAGTCGAAGCTGTCAGGGCTGGCGTTTGAAAATGCCGTACTTGGCTAATATTTGCGGCGCTGCACATTGCAAAACTGTGATTGTCTAGGGTAGATGTTACCGCGATGCTTTAGGATTGTACGCTATGATGTGTAATGTGGTAGTTGTCCACAAAACCAGTCGTATGTCAACTTATAGGAAAGTATATATCCTCACACAGGGCACGACGCTCTAGTAGAAGGACAATGGTAGCTAATGAAGTTCTATACCTTTATCTGATGTTGGATTGCTGATTATCCTTACGCAATCTCATAGAGTTACCGACTCGCACACTGATACTCTGATAATACCCAAATCTAATTCACAGATCAAGGGATTTCTGTCCAGTACTACAAAGCCCCTTGTGGTTGTGTGCCAATTTGAAATATATCCAAGTCCGATTACCACGTCGTAAATCCCAGTCTAATCGTTGACATCTGCAATTGCACAATAATGCAGTCTCCCAGCCGCCCCGGCGAAGCATCAGTAAGTGGTGTGTGCGAACCACGAGATCGCTGAACAACCAAGCCAATATATTCTAGCAATAAGCGTAATATTAAATAATTACCCCTAATACCCATTGGCCCCCATTCTTACGCCGTCTTAGCACTCGGGCAATTCGGGCATTCGGACATCACGGGATTTTCGGTCGTAACGGCCGTAACGGCCCTATCGGTCATATACCGGACTGCTTAGCTGAAGCAGCACCTTGATGAAGATGCCTTTCCATCATATATATATGTAGTCTGTGTCTCTTCCTTGCATTGTCTATTCCTGTCTATTATTCATTTCTATGATCACTCAGAACATCAGCTTGACGCAAAATAAACAATGACCGGTCTCAAAATACTCATCTCCGGCGCAGGCATCGCCGGCAACGCCCTCGCCTTCTGGCTATCCAGACTCGGCCACAACATCACAATCATCGAGCGATACCCTGGTCTACGAGCCACAGGACTTCAAGTCGACCTCCGCAGTCCTGGTATTGAAGTCCTACAACGAATGGGTCTCGAGAAAGCCTTTCGCAAGGTCACCGTCCCAGAACAAGGTCTACGGCTTGTTGATAGCAGCAACAGGCGATGGGGATATTTCCCTGCGAATCGAAGTGGCAAAGGATTGCAGAGCTTCACTACCGATTATGAGATTATGAGGGGGGATCTTTGCAATATGCTTCATGATGCTGTTAAGGATCGCGTGGAGTATTTGTTTGGCGTGTATGTGGTGGAGATGCACCAAACTGACGAGTTTGTTGATGTAGTCTTGTCGGATGGGAGGAAAGAACGATTTGATCTTGTTGTTGGTGCGGATGGTCTGGGGTCTCGTACGAGGTCGATGATGCTTGAAGGTGGGGATCAGGTTCACTCAATTGGGGTGTGTGCTGGGTATTTTACGATCGAAAGTGAGCTGAAGAAGGGAGAGGGATACGATGCCACGGTGTATATGACTACGCAGGGACGTGGGATCATGATGCGTCGTCATGATCCGCACAAGATACAGGCGTATATGTTCTGCAAAGCGGGACCTTTCGAGGATTGCACCAGGGGTGATGTGGAGAGAGAGAAGCAGGTTATGGGACAGGTATTTAACGATGCAGGATGGAAATCGGAGGAGATTATCCGGGGTATGGAAGAGGCGGACGATTTCTATTGTGAGCGCATGGGAGTGGTGAATCTGGATAGCTGGTCGCGGGGCCGTGTCGTCTTGGTCGGGGATGCGGCTTATTGTCCGTCTGCTATGACAGGAATGGGAACCCCGTGTGCCATGGTTGGTGCTTACATTCTGGCAGGGGAGATAAGCAAACATTGTGCGAAGGGAACCGGTTCGAAGGAGGACATTGCGGAGGCTTTCAAGAATTATGAGGATAAGCTCAAGCCCTTCATGGTGAATGTCCAAAAGGGACTCATGGACGATCACGATTACATGAGCAGGCTTCCTTCATCTACGTTGGGGATCACTGTGGTCTACCTCCTGTTTGCAATAGCATCCTTCTTGAGACTGGACGTCCTCGCGCAATGGATTCTGCGTGAAGATTGCAACAAGGACTGGAAACTACCGGAGTATCCGAGCATGGTCGACAACTGATAAGCGTCGGAAGCTCTGGCGTTTTTGTGGTATTATATAGGATTTGTTTTGTTGCTGTGCGTGTCTCGCTTGTACAATGGGCTTCATGGGGATTAATTAATTATCACATCCAATATAGTATCTTCTCTCCCAGGAATTTGCCACTCTAAATTCACCACCCCGAGAACAATTGCAGGTCGGGAAAGTCCAAGTTGAAGTCGCTGTCGTGGATGTAGTCGAAGCCGCGGTCTAAGACTTCCCCGAAGTTATCCAAGCTATTGAGACTATCTCCAAGGGATGCAGTACTAGGTCCAGCGGAGATAGATGCCCTGGCTACCATGTCCTGCATCATATTGTAGCAGGCATCCACGCTTTCATGCAGTGTTCTTGATACTGCCTCTTCCTCGGACTGACCATTAAGCCTAGCTTCCGCCTGGGCTAACATCATATTATAAAAGACATAGACCTTAACATTAGTCTCTCCGTAATGTAGTCTTTCTTTTGCATACTGGACCACGCAGCGGGCATCTCGCAAAAGAGCTTCCTGACGAGCATAATCCCTTCTTTTCGCTAGACTTGAACTTTCCGCTTCTGGATCGGGACTGGATTCCGAGAAGATGAGTATTGCCGCACGGGTCACGATGTCACGAAACATGCCACCTCCACAGCGGAGGACACGACCGTACAGATTGTCTTCGACTAGTGCTATGATATCTAGTGCGGCTTCGACACCGGCCTTGCGAGAGTGACTGAATAGGGGATTGGCCCTTGCCATAATGGCAAACTTGTAGTGGAGACACAAGGTAAAGCGTCGAATTAGATGGGTGCAGAAGCTGGATGCGAACTGATCTAACGGGGATGCAGACTTAATCTGGTCAAGCGTGACAGAGATGTCGCGGCATGCTGAGGCTAGTTCTTTACCGATCTCAAGGACCTCATCGTAGGGCGGTTCCTCTCGCAAATCGTTTATGAGTCTGGAGGCATGCAGACGGACTGGTATTGACTTTGACAGTATAGGTTGGAAATTAGTCGCCTGATGAGCCGCTGGACCTTCCTCTTCGCCTATCTCTGGCTCGGATTCGAGGCTGTTATCTTTTGGCGGTTCAGTATTCCAGTCTCCAGTTGCGATCATTGGTACCATCCCGGAATCCAAGGATGACTGTAGATTTAGTTCTAAAATAGTGTACCAGAGTTGCCGCCTAACTTCTTTTTCCGTGGACTCCATCTCGCTCAGATAATTGGGATCTTGATGCAGACCCATCTGCATGGCTATCCTCATCAATGAGCCTGTGGAGATCCAGATTAAATCGGCGCCAACCTGGTTTACTTGGCGGGCCAAGAGAAGAAGACAGTTGACTTGGATGGCTCCCAAAGTTAAGCGGTTCTTTTCCAGTGGGGCTGATAGCCATGTCTGGGCTGTATGAATCCACATTCCAGCTTTTGACGCCACATCTATACGAACATTGTTATCCTGATGCAAGGGACCTGCGGTGGCGACCACGAGAAAGATTTGCAAGACTATACAAATATCCATGTCTTCGTAGTTATTCAGGTACGTCTGGCAATGCTTCATGAAGGAAGTCTTCTGAAGTATCCGGTAGCACGACTCGAATGAGGCGAAATAGAGCTGGGCCAATTCAAGGACGATATCAGAACCAGGAAGTGACTGATGAATCTGTGTCGGGAGGCTACTACGACTTGGCCTTTGACTTTTGATGCTTCGAGCTAGCCTTTTGCATTGCGCAATCTTATCAGCAATGGCATCGAAGGGGCCGTGGCTTGTATTCCGTATGATGGTGTCGTAGAGGCCCATGAGAGGCTGCAGGCTGGGCAGCCCTTCTGTCTGTAACGTCGTCAATACAAGCAAGGTTTGATACGTGAGTCAACTTACCAATGAAAAGATATTCATCCAATGTCCCTGCCCGAACACTCTTGTCTTTGACACCATGCCTCGGATCTGGCCCGAGGTTGATGCAGCCTGTTGCGATGAAGCGTGAGGTGTGTGTGAAGGTTGGCCACTACTACTCTCAACATTTTGCCTCTGATAATTTGTTCCATTAGTCGTAGAGAGCACCGTTTCACGACCGGCACGCGCATTGCGATTCTGCCCATATGTGCAGGTTGAAGCAATATTCTGGGTCACACACTGTCGACACGGGTTGGCCCGATCGCATCGGACTTTGCGACGGCGGCACGAAACACATGAATACGCCGGGCGTCTGCGCTTTCTTGTATTGGATACGCCCGGACTAGTCATTGTACGAAGGTTTTGGCCGAAGATTGTTTCGGTTGGCTGTCTCCTCTGCAGTGCGACATAAACTGCAGGACAGACCAGGGAGGTTGGTCTGGAATAGGTGTTGGGGGTCGGCCGTAAGCCATCTTGGCCCGATACGGCCGATAGGGCCGAAGCCGCATCCGCCTCAGGCAACAAGGCTTACCAAAATAGAAACTGACATTTTCCAGACGAGTATAATTAGTTAGAAAGTCAGATGTACGCATCACATAGAATACTACACTATAACTAGGCTGTAGGCAACTTCTCATTTCATTGGAATAGAAGAGTGTGTGGTTAAATGCCACGAATGTCTTGGGTATGGAAATTGCATGAGAGACTCGACGGACGAAGCTGGGCACCCTCTACTACAGAATGTCTCTCAAGAGTCCCAGTCAAGTTCAGTCGCTGCATCCGCTCCTCTCCACAACAACCTCATCAAAGTACACCTGCCAAGTATACGAGTTGTCAGGCGACGTGCACGCTGCACTGATTGTCAGAACATCTGCGGACCGATTGGCCGTGAACCCCCCGGTTAGAGCGGTCCACTGATCACTAGGTTCGAGATCAGCGGTAGCAATGGTATCACTGGTTGTGTTTAATCCCAGGTACGCGGCAATATGGCAGAACTCTGCCCCGGACACGGAGGGCTTGACTTGTACGGAGAAGTCGTAAGTCGTGCTACGGTTGAGACTAGACAGGGTCTGGGAGAAGGAATTGGGGCTGTTGTCGATGGCAGTTGTGAGGTCGCTGTTATATGTGTTAGATTGGGGTAGATGAAGAGGTTACTAGACATACAGTGAGTAATTTCCAGTGTAGGCAGGAGTGGCAGTCATGACTCTGGCTGAAAAGGGCTAGGCCCTGTCAGCCATCTGGAATCAGAATATCTATATTCTGACCTGTCTAGTCCTGGACCTTGACCCGGAGACATCTATAAAAAAAATAGAAATCTCTAAAATAATAAAGAAGTTTACTGGAGTTATAAAAAAAAACTTCCAGAAAAAATATCTATAAAAAAAATTAATTTATCTATAAATTAAATAGTTTTTTTTTAATAAATTTAATTTCTTTATTAATTATTATATTTTATATAGTTCTCCCGGCTTCTTAACTTATTATAATTTTAAATTTATTTTTTTTTTAAAATATCTATCAGATAATAGACCAGCAATATATAATAATTATAATAAATTAATAAATATTTTTAATTACTATAAAGATACTATCTAAGCTGATATTATTAATTAATTAATTAAATATATTAAAAAATTAATAATCTAAAGTATAAAAATATAATATATTATTTTTTAATAAAATATAATAATAAATAATAAGATTAAAACTAATTTTAAATAAATTAAATAATTTATTAATATCTGACTTCTATTTTCTTAGATATTTATTACAGTATTTTTATTTATATTAATATTAATATTAATATTAATACCAGCTCAAGATCTGGCTGATATAAAGAAATTAAAATTATTAATATTTATAAGCTTTAATAGAAAAAATAAAAATAAATTTTTAAATTAGCTTAATAATATACAGATAAAAATTAAGATTAATTAATAATTTATTAATATATTAGCTAAATAAGCCTAGTATATATTTATATTTTTAAATAAAAAAATTAAAATAAAAATTAATTTATAAATAAAGATTAATCATAAGATTTTATTTTTTTTAATTATAATTTTAATTAATTATCTTAAATTAATTTATAAGAACCCAGCTTAATAAAAAAAAGTTATTAATAAATTATTTATTTTTAAATAAAAAAATTAAATAATTAATAATTTTTTAATAAAAATTAATAGTCTGTTAATTAAAATTAAAAAATATAATTAAAAAAATTTAAATAAAAAAAATCTTTTATATTAAATTTTAAATAACAACATCTGCTAACAGATAATAGATATTAAATAAAAATTAAATTTTAAAAATTTTTACTGATAAATTAAACAAGTAACTAATAAACTTATAAAAATAAATTAATTTTTAGAAAAATAACTGGAATGCTTAAATATCTAAATAGATAATATTTTTAAAAAAATAATTATAAATAATATTATAAATTAGAAATTTATAATTATAAGTACAGGACTTACTTAATAAACTTAATAAATATTAAAAAAAATACTGATTAAATACTGTAAGACAGGACTTTATTTATATTATAAATTTTTAAAATATTATATTACTAGATATTCTTATCTGTTATTATAATATTTTTAAAATTTAAAAAATAAAGTTTATTAAACTTTTTTTAAAAATAATCTGGCTAGTAAAATTAGCCAAATATTAAAAAACTTAATTATTTAATAATTTTTAATTTTAAAAAAAATATAATTTTTTTAGATTATTACCTGGAAAGATATATACTAGTTAATTATAATTATAAAAAATTTAAAAAAAAAATTTAAAAATTTAAAGACCACCATACCTTCTCTATATTAAAATTAATTAATAAAATTTATTTTATAAATATCTTGATTAATACCAGTTATATATCTTATAAAATAATTAACTAGAATTTTATAAATAAAAATAAATTAAAGTATATTTTTATCAAACTTTAAAATATTAAAAATTTTAAAGAAAAGGAAGCCTGTATAACTAAATTAATAAAAATATTATTAAATATAAATAAAAATTTATAAAAATATATATATTTTTATATCCTGCCATGTATACATAAATATAATATTATATTAAAATTTTTATAAATAAAGTATCAGAATATAAT